ACGCGTAACATTAAGGAGAGCTGTAGGCATTGAAAGCTGAAACAAGACATTTGCAATGGGAGCTCCAGCCAGCAGGCTAGTTGATTTTCTTGCTTCCAAATCATAGTTGTCATATCCACTTGGTGGTCGGCTGTGTTTAAAGTTCGGTTTTTAGGTTTTGATTAAATTATTAGGTTATTTACGTTAAATTTTTTAAAATTAAAATAATATTATTTTAAAAAAATAGAAATTAATAAATTACAACTAGATTTTTAATGAGTCTTACCAAATTAGATTACATCAAATTTTTTATCCTTATTCTTTTTTCATCCTAGCTTGGTTCCAGTCTTAAATTCATCCACCGGGTTTCGAGTTTCAAAGCTATATTCCAGATAATAACAATAATAAAATAAAAACTTGTCCTTCGCCAGCAGTTAGGAGGGAAATATAACTAGATAGGACGGCGAAATTTGGTGTGGAAAGAGGCAATCATTTCACAAGATAATATAAAACGCCCATGTGACTTTATGATAGAGTCAGGAAATTCAAAGCGGTCCAACTACTATACCCAAGAGAGAAGAATCAGAATCCCTCGTCCGTCATCTCTTCATGATTGTTTCAGCATTCCCAAATCCATCTAGCCCAATCAATTAATTTTTATGATAAATTAAGTGCTATGGGCATCCCCTGAGCATATGGGGCTCTTGCACAAAACAATCAAGGGCACATTTCCCTTGATAAGTTTTGAATATTCAATCATCTACTTGGCGTCCTATTTTCTTAAGTAGCTGACATTTGTGGTTCAAAGCAAGCTAGAAATGCATCATATGATCTCATATAGGCTATATAGGCTATAGAGTGAGGACCGAACAACCGCTAAGTCTTTTTAAACAAGTACATTTTGTATCGAGATGAGCGATGGGAATGAGAAACCCAGCTTAGCACGTTAGAATACGAAGGAATGTGTGCGAGAGAGAGGGAGAGGGAGAGGGCCAGTAACAGAGAACATGGGAGTTTCAGTTTGGAATCTGCGCCATCTCACCACATTCATGTAACCAGGGCATGGGGACTTGAGAGGGATGTGGGATCCACTAATTAACTGGACAGGTTTCACTTAGAACCCTTTTTTTTTGGTGGAACTGGTTCCACTTTCGAACTTGGCTACTGTGCTGTACTGATAAATTTAATTTTACTCTTACAGTCGGAGGGTCGGTCAGATCAGGCGGGTGAGACGTTTGTGTAATTATAAAAAGGTAAATATTAAAGGTATGATGCAGATCTGAAATGCATGTGGGTTAAATGAAAAGGGATCGATATGATAAAAGGTGAAGGAGAGGAGGTTGGATGCTCTTTTATGATATACAGTGGCTATTGAATCATAAACAAGACACTGAAAGAGATTTTAGGCAGAACTTATATAGATAGTTGTACACCGAGAGAAACTCACATGCAGGAACCCACAAAGCCATGGCTATTCGTTCCATAGACAATCGAGAATATGGGGTGACAGCCCTGACCCTCGATTTTCCAGATTGAAACCCCACCTCTATCATAAATCCATGTCAAAAAAGCAAAATCACAGTGAAACTCAAGGGGCCCTGCTTGGCATATACAGTAGTAATCAACTTCCCAGCCAATTTACTACTTTCTTGTTACAGCTGTTGAAATTTATGCACGAGACTCAGTATCAGTAGCCTCAACCAACCTAGATGCCCGTTTTGGAGCTCAGTAGAGCTATTTCCGAGGGATCAGTCTAGCAATACCATGTGACTCGAAGTTTACAGTTCAAGCACCGGGCAAAAGAAGAAATAACCTGCAACCCATTTTTTATCATTTGCTCATCGGTCTTGGATTTGACTGCTTGGGTCCTCAAATTGAGAAACTTGCTGTTAGAGCACCGTAATATCTCACATGTATTTATTTTTTTTAATTGCGGACACACTGCTAAATTCTATTTTTTTGAGGAGCTAAATCATATGATTAAACTCGCAAATTCGAGATCTTTCAACGAAAATACATGGAGTTGCGGCAAAACTGGACTGGTCTAGCTTATTGGATTAAGCTTGGCCAGGAACTTGCCAATTGAAGCTACCGCCACATTCCAGATAATCTAAATCCGAGACATGTTACTGTTTTACGTAGATCTTGGAGATCGAGATGTCAAAGCTCCTCGGCTTTACTGTACAGGACGCCCTTCTGTATCGAGATGTCAGTGTACACAATTATTATTATTATTATTTGTTTGTCTACAGATAATTATAACTTTAACACCATTTTTTGTCTTCGATAATTAGATTTGTATGGCATGGATCCAGCGGAGTATATAAATTAAATGCAGATTATTTTTTTGTCAATAATTAGATAAGCTCCTCGGCTCATCGCATGTTATCTGGCACTTAACAAACGAAGATGCATGTAATTAGATGTATGTTAGAGGATGTAAATCCATTCTTGCGTGGTCAGTCAATTGATTATTGTTCCGTGAATTGGATTCTGGAATCTCTTGACGCCGACCAGGTTGGTATTTAAATGGATATATACAGGACATCCAGGTATATGCCCTCGAAAAATAAAAAGAATAAAAAGATGTGATATTTGATTGTGATTATGATCTTAGAACAGTAACTTTTTTTATCTAATAATTCATATATATTATTAGATTTTATTATTATTACTCTTGTAATCTAATAAATAATATATGTTTTTAAAATTGTATTGCTTGAATATATTTTTTATCACATCTTCTTGTAGTATTTCCAGTGTTTATTATAATTAACAATCAATATTAAAATAAAAACTTAAAAAATATATCATTTACTGATAAAATTAATAATGGATAATTGAGCAATGATAAGATCATATATTTTATGATGGCAGATAAATTATTAAGATTTTAATTATTATTAATTTTTAAAATATTTTTTACTTTAAAATTAAGATTTTAATTATTATTACTTTTTAAAATATTTTTTATTTTAAAATATATATATGAAAATAATTTTTTTTATTTTTTAAAATTTATTTTTAATATTATCATATTTAAAAAATTAATTTAAAAAACTCAAAAAATATTTTTTTCCAACATAAAAACAAAGACGGGAAGCCGGCTTTACCTGCAAATATTACGTGGCGGGCTGTGTTTCATTGCTATGACAGCACTGCTGCACCTTGATTCTCTCAAACTGTACACGAGCATCGCCAGTTTTGGGGTATTTCTGCCAAGGTGTAACCAAGGTGATATGCCACGTGGAGGACTCTTTTAGCTGGACAGTCAACTTTTGGTGACAGTGAACTGGAATAGTGTCTGGTGTTGGTGAGCAATGAACTGTCCCGCTTGGGGAGACGTATGAGTGTGTATCGCAGCGGGCGCCGCAACTCCACGGGTTGGTTTAGAAAATACAAGTGTATGTTTAGTATGATGTATTTTATAGAAAAGTATTTTTTTAATTTTTTAATCTTTTTTAGATATTTTTTTTGTGTTTATTTATTATAAAATAATTTATTTAATATAAAATATTCCACAATCAATTCTTAAATTTAATTTATTTACTCTAAAATATTTTCAATACTCTCATCATCTCTTTATCGCCATAACAATTATATATTATTTTTAATTATTATCACTAGTATTTCTTATTATCATATTCATTGCCATCTCATTAGCCCTGTCATTTTTTTTATTAACACTGTGATTTACTCGTATTACTTTTTTTATTATAATTATCATTATCATGTGACTACATATCTTATTTCATTATTATTAATACTGTTTGTTATTATTATTATTATCATCTTGTTACAATTATTATCACTGTTATGTAATTATTATTATAATAATTTTTTTTACTATCATTATTGTTTCATTATTATTATCTTTCTTCTATGACCGCTACTATTAAAAAATACTTATAAGTAATATATTTTATATAAAAATATTTTTTAAGGTAAACATTAAATATATTTCACTTGTGAAATATTTAATGGGATTATCCATAAAATATTTTATGCAAGGAAGGAGGACCTTAAAAATTTGAACTTATAACTTTTTAGTGAACTTATAACTCAATTAAAATTTAATTAATTATTTTTTAAAATTAAAAAAATATCAATTAAAATTATATGGGCTAACATCCATTAATCTGTCACTCCTATTTCTTCCGACGTAAATTTCACAACCCAAAAACCAATCCAGATAAGTAAAACCCTTTTATTTAGTATAGAGAGTCTTGTAATTTAATGGTTTTGGTAGGTTTTTCTTGTTTATGTATTTTAGGTTCAAGTCTTAGTGTGTATATTTATTATCTCTGTTGTGTCTTATTTATTTATTGAATTTATAAAATATTTAGTATATTGGATTTACATAATGTTTAATAGATGTGAAAATTAATTACACTGCACGTAATTTGACCAATATTATATATTTAAAAAACCCCTTATTTATCGACTCTCTACTCTATCGTGACTCGCGTTAATATTACCAGTACACTTCTCTTGGCGTGGTTACAATACACGTGCACCCCATCGGTGATAGGTCAAACGTTCCCAAAATTGATATAGACCGACAGATCAACCCAGCACAGTAATTTCCAATTTCATGCTACATCTTAAACTCTCTTTATAATAACTGTTATTTACCTAACATCATACATACATGTATCAATTAATTTTTTTAAAAAAACCACGGTAATTTTAGAAAAACTTGAACGAGCAAACTAATCGGGGGTAGTTTAGGGAAAAGGGGCGTCAATCTAAGTCGTCATTCAAACCCACGAAGCTCAAGAAAATGAGGCATCTGACACGTCGAGCCCACGAGCTCAATGTGTGCGTTACAAATGGGAACACTTATTTCTAGCCCTGCCCTTCTTGGAGAAACCAAGTGGCATTTCCTGATCAGGCCCAAACTGCTAAAGAGTAAAGACTGATTAGGCTTTTGTAGTAGATAAAGGGTAAAACTCGTCATTTCGCCTGACCCCCCCACTTGCCTTTAACTTTGCCCACCCTTTAAATGACCAGAAAAGCGGGAGACGCTGATGTAGGCGCAGTCACAGAGAGAAAGACACGCAGGAAAGGGAGAGAAAGGGATTTTGAGTGAGTGAGAAATGAAGTCTGGAGAGTGAAGTATTTTCCGAAGAGAAAGAAACAAAGACTTTCCATATCGATAGCGAGCGTGTTGACGGAGAATCTAGAAGTTGTATATAAAGATAGGAAAAACAAAATGATGGGAATAGTGCAAGAGCAGAACATGGAGAAGCACATAGAGAAGCAAATGGGTTGCATGGCAGGGTTCCTACAGATCTTTGATCGTCACCAGATTATCACTGGAAAACGCCTCTATGCCACCAGACGTCTCCCTTCATCTATGGTCAGTTATAGTCTACTCTCTGACCAGTATGTGTTCTTTGCTCGGTTTATGTCTTTTTGTTTAACGCTAGTGTGTCATTATCTGTGGGAACTTTCAGGGTGTTGATTCTACTCCGAAGTCAGAGAAGTCAATGGGATCACCAGCGATATCAAGAGAATTGGAGAAATCGCAGCAAACAAGAACAATGCCTTCTCCAGACAGGTTTCAGCAATCTCCGGTAACGGAGATCCGGTCGCCGGCGGCACCGGAGTCTCCAATACCGGTTGAGATTCAATCAAAATCGCATCTTACTCCTTCTGTATTTGAATTGAAAGACGGCACGAAATCATCCTGGAGATCCTGCAAAGAAGCTCCAAGACTGTCTCTCGATAGCAGAGCAACTTTTGATGCGAAAGGAAGCCTTAAACCGAGAGAGATCCGTACCAATGCTGCGATTTTGTCGGTCAATGGTTGCGAAAACAACGTAGAGCAAGCAGACTACAATGACAAGCAACGCCGATCACCAAGTGTAATTGCGAGGCTCATGGGGCTTGAGCCATTGCACGACGTGGATCCTGAACAGGTGAAGAAACCTGAACTGAGAAGATCTGCTTCGGAGTCCAGAGCCTCCAGAGAGCTGTTTCAGTATCGATTCATTGATGGAGTCAATTTTCAGTTAAAGCAAACACAGCAGCAAAACAAACAAAGCAATGTTTCTAGCAAAGGAGCTAAAGATCAGAAACTAAATGGCAGAACAGTAGACCCAAAAGCGTACGATGTGGTGCGGAATGCGAGAGCTGAACCAGCTAGAGCTCAACACAGAGGGATTGGACAGAGGAGGAGCTTCTTTGATTCAGCTGATTTCTTTCCCGAGCCAAAACAGACAGTTTCTATATATGGTGAGATTGAGAAGAGGCTGAGAATGAGAGGAATCGATGAGCCATCGAAAGACCTCGAAACCCTCAAGCATATCCTTGAAGCTCTGCAACTCAAAGGCCTTCTACATTCCAACAAGCCAGCAAATCAAATTAATCAAAGAAACTTCATTTACGAAGAATCTCCGATCGTCCTAATGAAGCCAGCAAAATTACTAGCCTCAATGAACATGCCAGCTGGAAGAATCATCAACGACTCGCCTCTTTCAAATTTTAGACCAAGATCTGGTGTACATCGAGATCCAAACTATGCTGAGACATTGCCGGCAATAAGTCCCAGGCGCGAGCGTCCAGAGATCGAAAAGAATGCAAGGGGGCAAGTCAGAGGTAGGAATTTGAGTTCGCCAATGGGAAACGAGAGTGGCAGTAGAAGTCCCAGTATGAGGAGACCTTTGAGCGTTGAAACGCAGAAGAGAGTTAGCAATGATACGGTCGAGCAAAGAAGAGTGTCTCCGGTTCAATCTCCTAAAATCATTTCGAGAAAAACTGGGTTAGATCAGACGACAACTCGGGCACTTAGAAGAAAACCAGCGGTTGAGATATATCGCAAGGATGACAAATCGTTTGTCTCTGCATACGATGACTTGTCCACTTTCTCCGAGAGTAGTGTCAGCACCTCTTCTCACGCTGATATGGAGGTGAATTTTCAGTATTTATTTTATTAATTAAGGGATTTATTTAGTCTCATTGTAAGTAATCTGTTGGTTAGTTGGTGTTAAATTAATTACATTAATATTTTGGGACTGCAGAGGTCGAAATTAGAGGATTATAACGAAGGGAGAAATCTATTAGAGAGGTGCGATAAGCTGCTCCACAGCATAGCGGAGATAACTGCCAGCGAGTTGCAACCTAGTCCGGTATCAGTGCTCGACTCGTCCTTTTACAAGGAGGAATCTTCTCCTTCACCTGTAATGAAACGGACCGTTGATTTCAAAGGTAAGAGCTTCCCTGTTTCTGCCACTCTGTTTTAATATTTGCTCGGTTCGAGAAATTCCAGAGATTCTCTGAAAGCTTAGATTTTTACAGATTGACTTAAATAGATTTATGACGTAGTTTCTGATTCTCTAATTTAGGCCTGAAACTTGAGGCCAATAGATATCTAGACGTACTTGTAGTTAGAATAGCGGTCCTCCCTTTCCATGGCTGTCAAGTAAAATGCATCAACAACTTACCGTGTCAGTGGCTAATAATGTGCCTAAAATATGGGGTATCGAATCTAATAGATTATGGGGGTTGGCTTAAGTGGTCGCTGCTTAGCTACAACTCAGTAACATGGTAAACTATGCTACTAGCTTTAGCAACCTAAAGGCAGGCGATGGTGGTTCGAGTAAAAAGGCAGAGGAGCTCCGGTTGTACAGTCACGTGGAGAGATTTTAGTGCCTCGAGTGATGATGATAATCGGATTTGTGAAAACGACTGCGTATCTTGTGGAGTCCTTATTTATGACCGTTAAATACAGAGTAACTGGGATGAATAAGGAGCTTTAAATTTAGCCTCAAAACAGGCACTGCTGTGAAATTACTTTATAAAAGAGAGAAAAACCCTAGATCTCCGTACTCTTTTTTCTTCTATAATTTATCCGCTTAGAAAAGAATACGCTTCCCTGAGCTGACAGACAGGTGAGCATTGAAGGGTTCCATAACAAATTAGAATGCTTGATGCCTGTCTTGCTTACTTTTAATAATGCCCACAATGTTACTGCCTTGGCTTCCTAGAGATGAGCTGGCTTCTTGGAGCTGGCATATCTTTGTTTTTATGATCGTTTGCTTTCTCTGTCAGTTCTATTAAGCCTTTGTTACTGTCATGGTCTGTACTGACGTAGACAGTGTTTCCTTTGTTTTAAAACTTACAAGTAAAGGAACATTTTAATTGACACAGCGCTGCCTATGAATAATGTTCTTGTCTTGCCAATTTATCATAACTTTGGACGTTCATGGCTTATGATTTTTTATTTATTTATGTATTTTTTGGTCAGATCAATTAGAAGAAGTAGAGATAGAGGATGATATTTGGAGCACAACAATCTCAACAGCTGAGTCAAATTCCGATGACTCTGACCTTATGTACATTTCTGACATCCTCCGAGCTTCGAATTATTTGCCTGAGGACTCCGATATATTCCTGCTGCTAGAGAAGCAGCAATATCTTAAAGGGAAGGACACTTCCAAAGTGTCAACACTCCAAAGAAAGCTTGTTTTTGACACAATCACGGAAATTATGAATCGCAGGAGACATTTGCCTCCTTGGAAGGCCATTAGTTGGACGAATCCTGAGAGTGGACCAATTTCATTGCAACAAATCTGGTCAGAATTTCAAAGAATTCGGCAGAGGGACGCATCAGATGACTTGTTTGAAGTGATCTGTGGAGTGCTTAGAAAGGACCTGGCAGGTGATACCATTAGTGGATGGGGAGATTGCCCAGTTGAGATGTCTGAAGCTGTTTTAGATATTGAGAGACTGGTATTCAAGGATTTAATTGGCGAAACCATCCGAGATCTCGCTGCTTTTGGCCGGAAGGGAAAATGCAATCAAGGAGACCCCTTGCCTCGAAGGAAATTGGTATTCTGAAAACAAACGAACAAAAAAATAAAGCAGCCATCGCCTTTTTCGTTCGTTTTTTCGCTTCTTTTTTTGGTTTTTGTTTTTTGCAAGGGAGGATTTAACAATGTGGTGGGGAATGTTTAGTTTAATTCACCAGAAAACCAGCATATCTAATGTTCACTTTTGCATTTAGTCTGTAAAGAGGGGAGGGAACCACGAATGAAAACGTTAAACTAGTTGTATGTGTAAGCTTTCAAGCGCACATGAGGTTTGATCTTTTAAAATATTGGGAAGTTATAAAGTGCATGGAAAGCTCAATTATTTTCCCACTAAAAGAGAGTTTAGTCCGCTAACAAGCAATGAACCATCATTGCATCTGCTACTCTGAAAATTATATGGTCGAAAGTGTTAAATCTCCGTGACTCTTCAAGCTAGAGAGGAGAGGGTGTTGGTGGTCATCACAGTTATCCTGTCCACCACAACCGTGAGCTCAAGTTTTCAAGAGAGGCTTGCATGTGTTTTGACTGTTAGATAGTCCCTTCTTTGGATCATGATGTAAGGAGAATCTCTTGGAAAAATAAGTACTGGTTGGCTTGGAAATGGATTTACCATAGGAGAGCGAAAAATAAAAGGCGCAGGTCAGGACAAGCCAGGACAATTCTTTCTACAACAGGAAATTCCTGCTAAAATTACAGGAGTAACTTTTATGTGCATCACGCTTTATTCGTACCTTCTTCTTTTAAACGCAAGGTGCAGCAGGTAGGGTTCTGCCCCTAAAGTCTCAGTGATATCAGCAAGTAACCATAAAGGAAAAAAATGATGTGATGAACGACTGAGATATGATCTACTGTCAAGGGTAATCCACGAGTTGTTAGAAATCTACAATATTAAATTAGTTTTCATGTTATATAGATTAAGATAAACTTTAATTAGATAAGGATAAAAAAATTAGTTTAAATAGTACTTGTAAGACTATATATAACCACTTTAAACATTCAGATTAAAAAAAAAAGGTGTTAGCTGCTGAGCAAAATCAATGTGAGTTTTGTTCAACAATCGGTATCATGTTCTATAGTTTGAAAGGGAGGGAGGACCAATAGGTTAGGAAGAAGAAAAGGCATACGCAAAGCAGCATTGTCTTTGGCAGATCTCCCCAAAACACACACAGCAGCAGGAAAAAGGAGAGGACATGCAAAGCACCAACGTATTTGACGACAAAAGACATAGCTGTAGTTTACGTGATGAAGAAAACAAATATAATAACAGTTTGTTTCTTGGAAGAAGAAGACCAACAGTAACAACCTGGAGGCTGTAGCAATCAGGCCTCTCCAACGCGGGCAGTAGTTTGTAACAGTCCTCCCACCAGCAGCCAACACCTGAAATACCAGATCTTTCACATAACGGTTGGCTTCCATCACAACAGCAGATCAACAAACACGATAGCAGCATTGTATTAGCAAATCACTCTCCAACAGTAGCAAGAAAACAGATCACGACAACAACATATTTCAAACAATCCAGTTGCAGCTCAGCATGTTCATGCCAGCAGTAACACAGCTTCAAGTCACAGTTAAAGAAGAATTCTTTCACAGCTTGCAGCAATGATGAGAGATCTTCAAATTGTTGAAGGGATCAAGAATCTTAACAATCAGAATTACACTACATGGTCAATATGCATGATGTCTCACATGCAAGGCCAAGATTTGTAAGAAGTAGACAACGACAATGAGGAAACACAACCAACCGAAGATATGAATAGAGGCCTACACAAGTAGAAGATTAAAGCCAGTAAAGCAATGTTTTTCTTTAAAACCATGATTGAAGATGATATGTTGGAACACATTTGGGATGCTTCAACGCCAAAAGAAGCATGAGACACCCTTGCTTGTATCTTCTCAAAGAAGAATGACGCCAGACACAACTAGACATGGTGATTACTTAGTACTTTAACATGTTGAAATCAACATGTTGTAAGATTTTCAAATAAAACCTGGATAAACTATTGGTGAAATAAGGGCAAAAAAAAATCATTCATTGTTTAAAAATCTAATATCAAAGTTATGTTGCTACAGTACAAGAATGACCTGCTTAACCATGAGTTTAGAAATTTAGCCATAATAGCAAGAATCTCATTGAAGGGTGATAAGGAAGCACTCCACACTAACAATGGTAGGAGTAAGCGGTGGTGTACTCGCAAAGATAGAACCAAAATTTGCACATTGACGATGAATCTAATAAGAATGGTAATAAAAAGTAGAATTATTGAAGTATAGGAAATTTTAAAGTATGGGAAGTTTTCATCGAGGAGGAGTTTAACAAAAGATTTGAAGGCTAATGTCATAATTATGAAAAAGTGGTCACATGAAGAAAGCTTGTAGCTATTTCAAGTTCAGAAAAGTAGAGATGAATGAGATGTTGATACATCATTTTCCATAGAAAAGGAAGAACTAGTATTGACAATGACAATTAAAGATCAAACCAATTATGAGAGTAATTGAATTTTTTATTCCTAGTGTTCTAATCATATGAATAATGATAAGTAAAGGCTACAACATCTGATAAAGTATAAAGGAAGTCCTGTAGTAGTAACAACTAACAATTTAAGATTACTAATAACCTATATTGGTAAGACAACAAGCACACCTCATTATAACTTTGATAATGTTCATATTCAAGAAGTTAATCATGTTCTAGATATGAAGGAAACTTTGATGTTTGTAGCATAATTAATATCAACGGACTATTATTTCTTGTTTGGTCCATATAATGTTAAAGTATACCAAGATTTTGATTATGACTAAGATTATTGATTTTAATCATGATAAGAAGCTAGATCAATAACTAAATTTCTCTTTTATTGATCCTTGGAAAGAGAAGGTCTAATTACAAGTATAAAGTTAAAAAAATCTTTTGTTCCGTACAAAGAAAAGGACATTGAAGTAGATGAAAAAGAGTTTATTGATTTTGATAAGCCTGAATTAGTTGGAGCATCTATCACAAAAATATCTATATATAATGAAAATGTCTCATTATATTATATAGAAGAAAGTATCAATGAGTTTGATCTTGATGATGAAGATAATTTTGAATCTTCAATGTCTTTAAAGAATTGTTCAAACAATATACAAGAACAAAAGTAGGATGGAGAGCTAGAATAGTCATCTACAAAGATGGATGTTGTTGTTTCGATTAAAAGTTTTGTTTAGAAAAGTTATTTTTTTAGAAGAAGAGTTTTAGCGACTAAGGACTTTCCTCTACTTTATAGATCTCATGCTCTATGTCTTAATAAGAAAGAAGTTTTTGTGTAGAAGAAATGTTGTGGTAAAGAGAAAGAAAATTTAATGGCTAGTTATTGTAAGGGTCAAAGCTTCAACAGAAAGATTTCAGATCTTTATGATTCTAAAGAGGCAGAATTGAAAGGTTTAGTTGATAGTATTATAGATAAGTTACAAAAAATTAAAGAAGTGCAACCCTAAAAGTCAATTTCATTTGGAAAAGCTATGTATCCAAAGATTTGGAAATACAAATATGGTCTAGAAGAATGCAATTAATGTTAAACATAATGATGAAACTACCTTTGTCAATGTCAAAAAAATCAATATTTGATAATTATGGAATATGAACCATAACAACATTATTGAGACAGGATGTCATGAAGAGAAGAAAAAGGTGAAAGAATAATGATAATTGCTTTCGAGAAGGAGTTCAATATCAACTAAGATTTAGATTCATAGAATTTAAAGTTTATAAAAATATTGTTAGAACTCTATAATATTAAAATTATTATATATTAGAGTTTTATCATTACTAGAAGTTAACTAATGACTACTTTCACCTTAGTTAGATAAGAATAAAAGTCTTAGTTTAAGTAGTATTTTTAAGGCTATATATAATCACTTTAAATATTTAGATTTAAAATAAAAAAAAAACATAAAAAGATAATAAAAAAAAAATATCAAGTGTCATATTTTTATTATAGCAAAACCAATGTGAGTTCTGTTTAACATCGATTTTAAGTGAAATTGATAAATATATGGATTTAGTTTGAGACATGAATTTACTAGAATTCTGTTTATTTTTATGATTTAAAGATATTGCAAAAAAAATTAAATTTTTTAATGTATTATTTATTTTAAATTAATATTTCTTGATGTTTTTAGATCATTTTAAAATACTAATATTTAAAATAATTTTTTAAAATTTTAAAAATATTATTTTAATATACTTTTAAATAAATATTATGTTAAAAATTAAAAGTATATTAAAATCACACCCCTCTAGTATCTTCGATATCTTTTGCTCGGAGCTGCGATAGCTACCTGTCTCTGCACATGCTGGTGACTATAGCTACAAGATATTTAAATGCTTCTATTGTTTGCGAGTCTGCAAGGCTATTATTTGTGTGTCTGTAATCTTAATGGATTTGGTTGGCGCTTGTAAATGTTTGATTTGATATGCGTCCATTTTCAGCCAGTTCATCTATAATAGATCATCTTGAGCAGGAGCCCCTTTATGGCTTGTAGGGGAAAACGGGGAGAATATTATCATATGCCAACAAGTAAAATAGGACCCACTATCAATCCTTTCGTGTTGCAGATATTACAAGAACTAAACTAGGAGATGGAGAAGTTGAAGACTTGGGTAGACTCATGGAATTTAAATATTGTCTTCAAAAAGTACCCGTAGAAAGCTGCTTAATGGCCAATGCATTAACCAAATTAAAGGTACCTAGGGTTTTCTTTATGCGTAGCACTTCCGTTTCCCGTCTTACAACATTGCAGCTAAAGCAAGCATACCATGTGCTGCTACTTTTAAGTTTATCGAAGGTCCTGAAAAACATGTTCTCGTCACCTCTTTCCAGTAATTATTTGTTCGCTAGGCTCTGAGACATTCATGGTCCTGTTCGTTCTGTGTTAGCAGCATTCTAACAAACTTTTCGTTGAAAAAAAATAAAAATGATGATGATGGCAAAGAAAGGAAGAAAGAACCTCATGGGCCACTCCTGTAGGACTCGTTCTGTCGCCTAGTTTGAAGCTGTGGTTAAATGAAAGGGGTTGTGGCCGGTCCCTTTTTCATGCCCGTCATCACACCCTCTACCCATTTGATGCAAAATGTTCTGGCAGGACATTGTTATGGGCACTGCTCTATCTCGATGAATTATTATTATGTGTATCGCATGGTCGAAGTACTTTGTTTATCAGAATGGTTCCCACTTCCCATCCATATAGCCCTACTTGGGTTTCGTATATTTTTGCTTTTTATGACATTGTTCTTCCCTTTTATTTCTTTGGCTAAACTGCCAATGTGTGATGTGTGCACAGGACAACGAAAGCAAAGATACAAATGGAGTGGGGTTACAAAGTGATAGCTACCTCAGCGCACAGCGGGAGCCTTGATTCCTTATTTCATTTCACTTTTCCATTACAGGTCTTGTGGCCCATTTCTTCCAGTTGGCCGGTCCCTCTTAATTTGCTTTTAGGGCACACCAATTTTCTCTTTCACTTCTAAACAGGGTAAATATGAGGTCCTTCTCATCCTTGTAGAGTACTAGCCTGTCCATTTACATGTTGCGAGAGTTAAATGGTGGGTGGTGGCATGGGACACATCTCACTGCCATGGGCTTTCACTGTCTTTCTGGGCGGTACATTACGACATCTGTTACGAGGTAATCTGTTCAGTCTTGAATCAACCGACGAGGTTAATCTGAGCTTTCTATAGTTTATTTTCTCTTTTACAGCTTGCAATTTTCTCAAGAACTGCACTTACTAAACATTCTTAAAGCTAAAGATTCACAGCAGTGAAAAAAATTATTACCGTAATAAATGAGCATGATGTCTCGGTTAGTGGCTATCAATTATACTCTTTCCGTTCTGACAATCCCTCTTCAACTTTTAACTTCCCCTCCCTCGTGTCAAGAAGACTCACAGTACGTCATGTTTTTGCCAATTGGAATTGGAGATGGTTTTTAACTCACCCATGCCTTCTTTTTTTTTTATAAAAAAAAAAAAACAAAGATATTCTTTCGCATAATTATTCATAGTAAAGAATACGAAGTTCTTGAAGTATACAAACTCAACTTCTCAAACGGAGTATTGGACCTTGTAATTTCTCTACTTGATCCATGACATTTACCCATTAGCAAACAGGCCCGGCCCACACTCTACAACGGGGAACCAAGCCTGTGTGAAGCCCACACTTCAAGTTGCTGTAATGTTATGATGGGGCCAGCTCAAGCCCACAATTAAGCTTTATCTTAAAGAGAGCCATGGCATTTTCTCCCCAACCAACGTTATGGGCATTTTTTTGAGCTCTCTTTGTCATCATTCTGCACTGCACCGTACCTCAACCATTTCCCCTACACTTTTTTTGGCTGATCATCGTTTTTTATTTATTTATACAGTGATTCTTTTTGTGAAGCAACTCAGCGTTTAGCTTTATTTACAGAAACCGTGGTTTATTATTTTATTATAAGGTGTTAAAGAGCAAAATTATGGAAAGTTATGCCATTTTAATCTATGATATAATCTTGAATATTTTTATGATGTGGCATGTAATTGTTCCCTGGCATGAAAAGGCTCTCCACAAGAAAAGACAAATCAATCAATCAATTATACTTAGTTGATACAGGTGAAATCAATCAAACAAAATATTGAGTGCAATCATGCTGTACAACGCTCTGTGGAATTCACCAACAAGGACATTTCTTGGGGGTTTGAATGCTAAAGGTGGGAATCCTGCAGCACCGATGTCCCGAAATATTGCTGGAAAAAAGTGAAACTTATGTGCTTTGCTTGAATTTAATGGGTTTTTAGTTTTTTTATTATTGTTGTTGTTGGCAGCCTTGTTTAGGTTTACAAGATATGGAGACGATACTAAACTTTTCTGGGGTTGTTGGAAGCTAAGAATAACAATTAAACAGATAATATATAATTTTTTTACAAGTAAAAAAAGCTTAAAGTTCAAACCTCAATCGAGTCTATTATTTTTTTTGGAGGTTTTTTTTGAAACATCCTTAGCTTAGCTGTATATTTAACCATAAAATCCTCCCTTGCATTGGCTTTTTTACAGGTATGATGAAGTTTCACCTCCCAGGCTATCAAATATCTTCACTGCAAGGGCTCTAAACTTAAAAAACTCCTGCTGCTGCCGTCAGAAACCAGAGGAATAGCATTTTAGAGTAAGAGATGCGCAAAATCCATAGCCTCTCCCAAGCTAATTAACAAAAGACCATACTTCAAGGCCACTAATTCAGGCGAAAGATTACCTTCAGTGCCTATAAATCTAGTAAACCCCACAACAAATGAACCTGCTGGAGTACGAATATATAAGATCACCAAATCCAGCTCTCCCTGGATCACCTGTGAACTAATTCCATCCACGTCTAACTTATCAAAGTCCTCTGCATGACGCTGCCAAGAGCACTCTAAAGGATATGAGGTGCCAGCCTTAGTACTCTTCCACGCCGAAATGCAATCAACAGCCATAATGTGAATGTTCCTGATAAGCCATCATCACCACCATAAAAGTCGCCAAAACTCGTAATATTCTTGTGACGTCATATCCACCACATAGAACTTAAGAATAAATTGGCAGAACTAGAAGAAGCCAGAGCCCTAATCCATGCATTGCATGGTATTGTTGCAATCGCATCCATTAACATTGCTCAATCCAATTATGCTCCAAATCCTCCCCTCCTCCACACAGTCCCTCAACATTGTTTATCGCAGGCCCAAACATCACTATGTTTGTCAAGTTTCGATAGAATAAGCATGATGATTAAGTTCTTATTACTGTCAACATCATCAAGGTATTCGTACTCCTCCATCATTATTATTAAAAAATAATATAAATTATGTATTAAAATTTTACTTAACAAATTAAATTAATTGTTGAGTTAAGATAATTTTTTAATATGATATTAAAATTTAATAATTAAAGAATCATGAATTTAAATCTCATCATTTATATTTATTTTAAAAAATAAAAAACAACATGTTTTTTAACACCTATGATTGAGATCCAAACATAGCCTTGTAGAATGAAATGATACCTCTTTGGAGGCTGCCCCCCGTATGCCTTGTAACTCCACCGAGTTTCACATTTGAACACTTGAAAAGAGATTATCATGAAGGGTTTCACTTTCAGCTGATTTTGTTTTGGTATAATGGGTTGCATTAGTCGGTCACTCTCCCAACAAGACAGAAAATACAGCAGAAAAATCCTAGTTTGGACAATAGACAGCATATAAAAGGTGGGCGACAATCTTGGTCCACCCTGTTGATTCTAAACCCTACAATAAATCCTCAATCAAAGCACTTCTCGTAATAAAAGGGCTAATTGCCTTCGCTACGAGCAAATTTAAGAGAGTTGCATCTCCCTAATCAAGCCTCACCAAATACCGCGATTTTCAGAAGCGTCACACTAGTTCCTTTTAGGGCTACAGGATAAACGGTATTTGCTTCGAGGAAAGGAACAATGTTTTTACATTTTCTCATTCTGTCCAAGGATCTTTCTAGTCTAAACTGTGACCATTGTTTGGCTTCATTTAAATGGTGGTCATTGTGATGATTTCATCTGAATGAAAGGGGACAAGGAGAGTTGATGATAATAACTTTTGGATTTTGAATGACCTTTCATGTTTAGCGAATGATGCAAGCATTAATCATAAAACCCATGTCTGAAGTAATCATGATATGCTACTATCTCTTCAATTTTTCAAATATTTCTTGTCTCGAATATGTGTGACCGTTATTAGTGGTTTTCATCCAAAATCCACAGATGTTCCTTCCACATTAACATCACAACATTTCAATTACTTGTTAGAGCTATGGCTCTGGCATTCCTCACTGACCTTCTCTTCAGAAACCAAAAGGCTATGGAATGATCTTGGAATCATGAAATGTCAATTCCTGCTAAAAGCATCCTGGGCTTGAGTACATGGTCCCTATGACATCTATCATAAACTGGCCCCAAAAAAAGCGGCGCTTGAACAAATTAGTTAGACCTTTTCATTAAGGTAAGTTACACATCAGCTTAGCAAAATGAATGGTCGATAGTCGTATTTATTTATTTATTATTTACAACCATAGCACTGTGAAATCTGAATTACCCTATAGGCTAACATTTGTAGACCTCCAATGACTGCATGAAAATTCTTGAAGAAACGGAGGAAAACTGCAGTAGATACACCATTAAAAAGGGATTAGAATAAAGAGGCACACACTAATCTCCATGCAACTCAACAATATTGCCTATTTTTTACCAGTGCTGAACAAGTTCTTTCTTATTCCTTAAGTGGTTTGTCAAATAAGTAAAAAAATCATCACAACATTGTGACTTATGACAAGTGGTCATGAACTTCTGAATTGAATAAACAGTATGAAAGAAATATCTCTCAATTAGTTGTCAGAATAAAAAGGTTCTTGTGGTAAAATGCCTTCCTGCTTCCTTCACAACTTGCGCCGTCATGTTAGCTCGAGCATTGCATGCTGTGCTTTCGGTTTTCTTTGCCTGCAAATCATATACACAAGAATTTTGTGAGTGAGAAACGAAATTCCCATTTTATATTCTGAACTTTGATGTTATTGTCCTAGTAGACTGTCCATTTAGAACACGTAAATGATCTTTTGATCTACGTATGGCCTGTCTGCTGATTGGATGTTATACTTAGAGGCGTTATATAAGCCAAAACATACATTGGAATTAATTAAGGATGCATGAGCATATGCTTATGCGAGGGTGGTTTGGATCATTACATAGTTTATAACATGGCTGCTTGAATGCTGGATCTTCAGTTATCGCAGGAGGTTCCTGGCCATATATCATCTCACAGCTCATATCTTCAAAATCTGCGAAAATCAGATAGCACACCGTTAGCATCTTAGCTGCAGCAGACTGATGCTCTATATTTTAAGTCATCATGTGTTGATTGCAAAATTATAATTAACAATGGTGGCCCCTGTGCCAAGCTAATGATTGGCACGTGGGAATGTAAAGAACGTTCAACTTGGGTGCTTGTTGTGATCCTACATGGGGTAGGTTTAGAATGATGTGCTTGTTTCGGGAACAGATGAATATTAGTGTCTTGCATTGAACATTGTCGCCTTGATGGCACTAATCATGGAATCGTATATTTCTAATTAACGTTCACGAATTCAGGTATCTTTGACTGGATTTGCATAATGCAATTTATAGGAGCAGTAGTCATCCCTGTGATGGAATTTTCACCTTAGATTGGATGGATCTAGTTGCATTTTTGCACCCTTAGTGGTTATACTCGGGGCCCTTCTTTGACATGATGAGCATGGCCTCCACGTTCTCTAGTGCAGGTACTGTTACTCCTGGAAGCATATCCCTTTTTCTTTTGTTGCTTTTCAATTAATGCTATAGGCGTAAAATCGGGAAGGATCGTTTCTCTTTTGGAAACTGTTCTATTTCAATGTTCTGCATGTTATAGAAAGTGCTAAATTATACTATGTATATTATAGTAATTTTACTTACCATGTATAGTGTATAGGTTTAATCTTGTGTAGTGCTCTATAATCTTACTATTGTATGCTACCCTACTTGTATAAATAAAAAAAGATTGGCCTAGTGGTGGAAGGGGTTTGTCTTCTTTCACTGCACTTGGGTTCGAGCCCTGGCATGCGCACCTGTCACCCCCGCGGTGCCTTACATGTTTACTGGGTTTGCAGGGTATTCAATGGGCCGTAGGGATTAGTCGTGATACGCACAAGCTGGCCCGGATACCCCACATAAATCAAAAAAAAAAAGATAGCTAACACATTTTTGAAGCCTTTTATTGTTATATTATTTTTAATTTGGTACAAGAACCTTGCATCTTAACATTTTTCTTTTTTCCTAATAGATCTAACACAAAATCACATCAACGCAGCTCCCATCACCATTGTTATCCCTAATTCGATTCTCTCTTCCTTCCCCGAGGTAATTACATTAGCATTGTCTTCCTTTTTGTTTGGTAAATAAGCTAGTGGTTCTCTGCTTTCAACTCTTATCGCTGTCACCACTAATTCTTGTCTCACATGCCTCTATTAAACACTCAACAGGTAATTTTTCTGAAGCTCTCAAACACTAATAATTATCTTTATTGGTAAATACAAATGAAGTCATAGAGTATTTCACTTTGTTGATAGCTCATTTCGCGTCCCTCTTCTTGACTTGCCACTATCAATGGTTCACCCTTTCAGATCAATCCATCTTTTCTATTTTAGAAACAACTTATTTTTAAGTGCCCTTCTCTCTTCTCTTTCCATGGATGTGATGCACCTTGTCATTAAGTGTCAGAATTCATGTAGTTCTACTTTTAAACAAGTTATTACCTCTCCGTCGAACTCTAGAATTATACAATTTCATGACACTTTCCAAGAAATCCGTCAAGGTGATGATTTTGTCACTATTTTATTTGCAGAAAGAGAAGTCCTTACTTGATGAATTGGCAGCTACTGGAAGGCCTATTTCGCTAAAGGATTTCAACTTATATGTGTTTCGCAAACTTCATGATGAATTTAAGGACTTTGTGACTAGTTTACCCACCGAGACTAGCCCTCTTTCCTACACTGACCTCCATAGTTATCTCTTCACTCATGGGTTTTTTCATAAAAGTTTACTTCAATCCATAGAAAGCTCTATTATTACCGTGTTGCTGCCTACACCAGCTCAGCCCCCCTCGGTTTTTGTTGCCCAGGGTTAGTTTTCCTCCTCTCATGGACAGTCCTCTGATTCTCATAGCAGCAGCTACAATTCTATCACGGTAGGGGTTGTTTTCGTGGTGGCTGGCGCAACATCAATATAAATTTTAATAGTGACACTACCTTTTGTCGTAGGAATAACGGTCCTAACAATAGTATTTGGTAACAACAGAATTAACAGCAAGGAAATTATTCCCTTTCATCAAATCAGTGGTCTAGTAAATGATATGTTAGGTGCCAACTTAGCTATACTTTTGATTAGTCGGCTCAGCAATGTTCCCAACTCCATAATCACAGGTTACAAGATAATGCCAACCTAGCTCTTAGCAATATTTCCACAGGAATCTCTGTTAGTTAATTGCTTTGCTTTATAGACACAAGTGTGAATTAACATGTCACTTCTGATATTGCGAGCATGACGGGTTCATAACCTTATCTTTGTAATGATAACTGTATATCAGTGATACTAAATGACTTATCATCTATTATACTATTCATACTAAATTACACTTAAAAAACCTTTATTTTGTCTAATGTTTTATATGTTCCTTGGAATTAAAAAATTATTGTTATATGTTCAAAAGTTGTCTTAAAGATAACATGTTTTTTTTCATCACTTTCAAGCTCAAATTTAAAGATAATTTTCTCATAAAATTAAATTTATCCAAACAAACTATGGTTATAAATACAAAAAATTACATATTTTTTTTAGGCTATTAGTGTTCATCACTAATAAATTTTTCCACACACTCATAAATAAAAAAAATGACATTGTTGAATGTCATCATCGAGATACAATCAAATTTATTTTTATTTTGTTAGTTAGTTTAAAATATTTTTATAATTTTAAAATTATATATTTGAAACTTTTATATATCTTATTAATTGTATATCTACTATTATATTGTAAAATAAATTTTTTTGAATGTATGTTTTACTTTACTTATGATGATAGTTTTTTGTGTACTTTTAAGTATTTTTATTATTTTTTTTTAATTTATATAATACTTATTAGTTAGATTTTTATTTCACTTCATGTGTATTTCTAAGCTATACCTCCTCTAATTTGGATCATCGTTGTCTTGACATGTTATCTCAAAGAACTCACATTTCTCGTCATGAAAGATTTCGTGGACATGGTTTTTCATTTGATAACTATGTCCAGGTAGCTAATTTTCCTATGCCTTCAATTAACCTTTACCAAACTCCACTACACACCTGCCTTCTCTAACTACTTTCTCAATACCTAAATCCAACTCATTACCCATGATACCTCCCTCAACTGACCCTTCGATCGTGCCTTCCAACCCTGCTCGTATATCACCACATGCATCTTTATTTATTGATATTCTTCAAGTTCTACCCCTTCAGTGACATTGATTTCAACCTCCTCTAATGTTGTTACCCAATCTGGTTCCATGTCTGGTTCAACATCTTCTACCGCATCAACTTCATCAACTCATGTTTTGGACTTGGTTATTGATTTGTCCAACTATCCAATTAAGCAAACTTCAAGTTCAGATCCTTCCTTTACTATTCCAGCACCTCGATACCATCCTATGGTTCTTTATCCCTAACAGCCCAAAACAATAAATCTATCAACGTCTTTGGCTTCCCCTAACACCTCTACATCATAGGTCACTACTCCTTATGGTTTATATATCACTCGTAGTTCATGTTTCTCCTTTCATGGTTTTATTAATATTGATTGTGTTGATAGTATTGATGATTGTAAATTGACTAGTGCTTATCTTGTAAAGTTTGGTACTACTATCTCTGAGAAATCAAGCAAATAACGATCAAGATGGCAAGCACATTCTTTAAGCCTCCTATTATTTTCAACTCTACACAATATAAATATAAAGGGATGGCTAGCACATTGTTTAAGCCTCCTATTATTTTCAACTATACACATTATACGTTCTTTGCAGTGCAAAATAAAATTTGAGAATATTGACTTTTTATGAATTATTCTGTGTCTGTTCTTTTTAAGATTTTCAAACGCAGTATCTTATGATACATACATACAAAATTTTGGTTCCTATGCCTGTTTGGCCGGCCATGCATGCAGTTGCTGAAGGAGAATACTTACTTGGAACCATGTTAACTGGCATTCCAAAGGAGTGCTTGATAAATGTTTGACTTGGAACCTTGCATAGATTAGTACACATCCCAATACAGTCTGTCTCCTCTAAAAACCTGCAAGGTGTAGATTTTATGGCTAAAATACCAAGAGCAATAAAAACTTCAATGATGATTTGATAATTTCCATTGTGATGGCCATGATGGTAATGGAGAAGGGAGAGACTTGAAGCAACAAAGCAGATTGATTTAGGAAAGAAAGTGTCAACATATATGAGATGGTAGGGGACCCCTAAAGGCTAAAATTATGACTATGAATTTCGTCTAGGTTGAAATTACAGAGAAGATAATATTTACCTGCACTTTTTTATGTGAACTACATTCTTTTCTTTTCTTCCATTGAAGTCGGATTCCCGCACCTTGTTTTGTAAAATTGATAAAATCACTCTCATTAGTGTATAACTCACAATTTAATACAGAATGCTATTAACTAAGACAAATTTAGGTTAAAAAAAAAGGGGCAGAGCATGAGGGAAAACAAATTTGAGTAAAAAATATTAATGGTTGAAGGCACACGTTAGTATTGGATCAGCAACTTCTTCCTTTTTCAGGCTCAATTCTCGATTTTTCAAGCTGCCATGACAAATTATCTCTTGATGACTTTCTTCTGGTACTGGCATGTTTTTTCCCATGGCAAAGGATCTGAGGCCAGAGGGGGAAGAAAAGGAAAAGGATGCTCCACCACTATATTTTCTTTTTTTTCTTAAGGAAAAAAATGAAGATTTTTATTTTTGGTGTAATGTCCATGTAAATCCATCAAAAACAACAAATCATGTAAATGGAATTTCACTACCTCGCAGGGTCCGACTAGCCAAACAAAGAACAAGGTTGTGAAGGCAGCAAAATATTCTCTTGTAAACGTGCACTGTGGTAGCATCATCTTTGCCTGCCACAAATCAAAACAACAACACTTATTTATTATAATATCGGAGCATACTATAAGGAATTTAGGAATTATACCTCACGTGACAGAGATTGGTAGATAAAATAATTAATGGTTCGTTAATATCTAGAAGGTCTTCCTTGTAGTGATTCATGTGTCTCTGTCTCAAACATGTCCAAATCAACTTTGCATCAAGGATGGAAGGAATGAGAGGAAATATTATCTCCTATTGATAAAATAAATAAAGAAGAGGAAGAGGAAGAAGAAGAAGATGATGATGATGATGATGATGCATCTTTTGCCACTAAGGCATGTTGTTTCAGATGGTGTTGGCATTTGCAGTAACAGCTTCTAAAAGATGCAGTCAGAATGCTTTATTTCATACACACATAGGTTTACTACTCAACTTGCATTATTTCTGGGATCGAAACTGATAATCTGAACTCATTTGTTCTCAACGATATAGAGATGAGAGGCCTAGGAGTTCCCATGCAGTTCTCTCTATATATGTATGCATGAAACCTGATCAATAGTTTTATACATCGGTAGTAAAAACGACAAGAACAGAAAATAAACAAGAAAAAAACGTATCGAACTTGCCAAGGTCGATATCGTTGCGGGGATGGCTCTATTAAGAGATTGAAGCACAAGCTCATGTTGTTGAGTTGGATTGAATTTCCGCCATGTATCTCTAGCTGTCTGTGTCAAGCTCTCATAATCTCTCTTGCTGTTTCTCATCCCTGCATATGTTTTCGTGATCTGATTTTCTTTCCTCGAAAATGAAATGAAGAAAAGCCCATATTAATAGTCAAAAGAAATTAACTAAACCTGTTGCATCTTGAAATCGCTGCGATAGATAGTTTATAGCTAGCTTAGCAAACCAGCTATCGTTATAGACAGTAGTCTTTTTCGTAAGTCCTGCTAATAACATATCAGTAGGATGCGAAGCCTTCCTTTCCTCTCCAGTCATATTAGTATCTGGTGTTCTTGTTAGAACGGCAAGAACAGGAGAGCGATGTTTGAGCTTGCAAGCACGCTTCTGTCGCGGCAGGGATGGAACAGGACTTCTAGTTTGACAAAGAAATCCTGCATCCATGTCTCTGATTGATCAAGAAGATAGATAGGTTAAGATGCCTGCGCTGAATTGTAGGAGCTAGTTTTTGGCAGAAGAGGAGCACAAGGCAACAAAGAGAGGTTGTCGAGCATTTTAAAGAAAAACGACGAGAACAAAAATTGGTTTAATCTTTTTGGTTTATGATTTATGGAATCTTACAACCTCATTGTGTCATTGCATCTTCCATTCGGACAGAAGATGCTCCTTTTGTTTTGAATGTATATAGTCAATTACAAGTGGACTTCTATTTGTACATTGATTATCATCGCCACCTTTTCGGACCTCTTCCATTCAACTTGTATCACATCGAAGATCAAATATTACAAAACATACTCCCAAAGAATCTTTCACTAGGAAGCCGTCAATTATCCTCTTATTATTTTTCCGGTGAACTGCTTAGCTCTCTTTAGACTTTGTTTTATGTGTTTAGTATTGTGCTGTACTGTGATTTTTAAAATTATTTTTATTTTAAAATATATAAAAAATAATTTTTTTAATTCCTAATGTCAATACATTAAAATCATCTAAAAAATTAAAAAATAAATTGTTGTATATTTGAGATAAATTAATATGGTTTTTTTATAACATTAATTTCAGAAGGAAATGTAAGCCGCCGGGTATCTTTTTGTTCGGTTTATGTCTTCATGTTAAGAAGACGTCAAATATTACACCAAGCCTGGGCCAAAGCACGTCTGAGTGTTTGTTTTAGAGGTGAAGTTGAGGTTTGGGTGTGTAACTCACCAAAAAAGCTTAAAAAAATTAGTTTTTATAATTAAATTTTATACATAATTAGATTTTACCCAACCATAACCTCAATTACAAGAACTAAAACAAACAACAATTAGAACTTGTCTCATCCCGTAGCGAGTCACCTCAATAAGGGTGGGCTTAAGAAGATGTCTGGATTCTATATCAAAACAAAACAAAAGGATACCACCACATAGTATTCAGGGACAAGACAGAACAAGAACAAGAACAATGAAAGAATTTGTGTTGGTTAAATATGAAATGCTTATTTATGCATTCTTTTATTTGATTATTAATAAAAGACTAGATTTGTTATTCAAGCTTCGCTGCGGATTGAGCAAATTTATTTTTTGATGTAAAAAAAATATAAGGGTAAAAAAATTTCAAGTTTCAAGATATTTGTTTAAGCGGTAATCTAAACAATACAAAAAAATATAATAATAAAAAAATATTAAGATGTTATATTAATTAATTTATCCTTCATAGTACCTAACAATTGCTTTACCGGAGAAGTAAAGTTAGTTAATTAATTATATATCCTTCATGCACTTCATCTTGCAAAAAGTGCCCGTATTTTGAGGACATGAGCTTCTGGTTATACTCGTCCTTGAACTAAAAACAGCATGCTTCTTCTGCTTACGAGAAGTTAAGAGGCAACTCGCCCGACGACCTTTCAGTTGTAATAGCATAGTTTTAAATCACGGGATTTTTTTCGTTTTTCTGGGAAACACCGCATTAAGTGGCACAGAAGCATGGAAGTAAGTCAAGAGGATGCTAAGAAATTTAAGTTGCGGATCCAAAAAACAGCATTCCTATTCTAAACAAAGGCACTAGTTCTAGAGGACAAACCTAGAAGCCAAACGATATGTACTTAACTAAGATGCCCCTACCCACACATAAACATAACATTAATACCAAACAAATCTATCTTAACCTAAACCAAGACACAGTCACCAAATTAAACACATAATCTTCCAGCTGAAAGCAACTTGAGATCAGGTGCCAACAACTTCACTCTTTGGTGGTTTTGTTGATGAGAGACTTGTGAATGTGAGGGATCACACCACCACCAGCGATGGTTCCCTTGATGAGGGTATCCAGCTCCTCATCTCCTCTGATGGCCAGCTGCAGATGCCTTGGAGTAATTCTCTTCACTTTCAAATCCTTGCTAGCATTGCCAGCAAGCTCAAGAACCTCTGCTGTCAGGTATTCAAGGATTGAAGCTAAGTAGACAGCAGCAGTGGCCCCAACTCGCCCATGGGCAGAGATCCTTTGCTTCAGATGCCGGTGGATACGACCAACAGGGAACTATACTCAGTCATCATTGACATAAAAAGGTCATGTCAGATAAACCCAACCATCAATAAATCATAAGAGTATGGAACAATGCCACCATGAAAGAAAGAAACTTCTTAAACAGAACGCATGCCCTACCGTAACCCATGTTTTATTCTATAAACCCAAGGAATGACCATATGAAAAACTCTACAGCAACCCTAGTTTTAAAACAAGATAGACACTGCTATTCTTCTGATAAGCTCAACTGAAACACTAAAACCGAAATCAACACAAATGGCAAGCTTAAGGATCTTTGATCTAGCTGTGAATACCCCCCCACTCACTAAAGGGTTTGTTCGGTTTGGTTTGATTTTCAAACCAAAATCAATTTATGTAAAACATAACTACGCATACCAAACATACTGTATTGTTAATGTTTGTACAGGGCACTCTCTTCCCGCCCAACCACTTTGTTCAATTTCCTTTGCCTAGCATCAGCCGCCGCAAATGCTACTGGCTACAACACATAGTATAACCTTCAATCTCCACCAAAATAACTATAACAACAGCTACAAAATTTATTGTGTGTGCAAGTAATTTACATGCATCGAATGGGGATTCTATTTAATCACGAGAAGACTCACATCCTCAAAATACGGGCACTTTTTGCAAGCAATATGACAACTACAGTTAGCTATATCATCCTAAAAAGTAATTGTGGGATGCGTAATATAAATTATTAAGAGATAATCTTCAAATTAAGGCCAACCTCATTCAAATCAACAATAATGAACGAACACGTAAGTCTTAATTTATTGGGACTGTGTTACCTGAATGCCAGCACGAGAAGACCTAGAGACCGGCCTCTTCTTGTCCTTGTCTTTGTCCTTGTTAGCTGCTGCAGTTGTTTTCGTTGCCAGAAGCCCCTTTCCTCCTTTTCCAGCCATCTTCCACCTTTTCTTTTCAAAAATTCAAGTTCTCAAATTAATAACAATTAAACAAAACAAAAAGAATATGCTTCCCTAAAACACTGTCATCAAAATGTAGTTTGAGATTATATATACAATTAGACCAAAAAGAAAGGAAAGCCCCCCCATATGATGAAAACAACTGACTGATACTTCTAATTGTGGGAGAGAAAGAAAGAGATCTGTCCTAAAATTCTTGGAAAGACGAGAGAACTGAGACGTGAAATACGATCCAGGCAAAACCCACTTAGAAAACTCTTAAATCTTAACAGAGTAGAAAATAATTTAAGCAAAGAACAGTAAAAGAAAGAAAATATGAAAGGCCAAGATATCCAGTTCGAAAAGTTAAAACAAAAAAAATGGAAACCAGAATGAGAGGGAGACCGAGAGACCTGAGGAGATTTGAATCTTGAGAGGAGTGGGAGCCGTGGAGATGGGATGAAAATGAGAGGCTGGCGTATGTTGTTGAGGATTATAATGAACAGATTCAATAAAGAAAGTGGGAATTTGAATGTGCAAAAACCTAAAGAGGCGGTCTCTTTTGGGTGGGAAAAACTCTCCAAATTTTCGATTTCAAATTTTCGGCTCTTTTGTTTTTTGTTTTTTTTTACCCTTTGTGGACTAATTTATTTTGCTTTAATTGCAAGAAATACCCTTGCACCTGCTTGACGCGTGTCCCAGTAAACTGAAATCCAACGGCTCTACTGTGTCCTTTGGTCAACAGTAGAAATCCCTGCTTCCTTCGTCACTTGTGATGTGTATATTTTTATGGTAAAGCGTGTAAAAGGTTGTCTCCTGGCCTGGTCGAGATCCAGAATAGGAGCTTCCGTATGTTTATCGTAATTTATTTTACCCCGTAGTTGTCAAATATTAAAAGACATTTTCTTTAAAAAAAAACAATTAATCTAGTTCAGTTCAAACTTGGTTTGTTTGATAGTATTAAATAAACTATTAAAAAATTAAGCAAATAAATTTAATTTATCATAATTAATATATGATTTAGTTAAACTTTTACTAAAAAAAATTTTTATATAAAATACTTTCATGATTTTTTCATGCTTTATAACATTGTGGAAAATTTATTAATAAATTTCATTTTTTAATAAAAAATAAAAATAAGTTTTAAATAGAAAAACATGTTCATAAATTTTATTTTTTAATAAAAAATAAAAATAAATTTTAGATAGAAAAACGTGTTTTCCAGTTCAATTATTGAAAAACACTTTTCCCATGAAAAAGTTTAAGAAATTAAAGTGATACAATGTTTTATTATCTCCATATACATGGTATTTTAAAATATAGTATCATCATAGAATAATAAATTAATAATGTATTTATATGGAAAATAATACATTAAGATATATTAATATACAATATTGGTGTATACAATACTTTAATTTATAATATTGCTATAGAGTATATTGATAGAAACAATAAAGGGTCTTGCCAAGATATTGTGGATTTCACTATGCACACACACATGAAAATATTATATGTTATAATAATTAAATTATATTTTTGTCCTTTCGAAGAAAAAATTGATTGCCTGGGCTTGAAGGGTAACTTGATCCTTTTTTAATAGCTTGTTGGTCTCTAAATAACTATTGAAGAGTATTTTCATATTATTTTACTTTTAAAAAAAATAATAAAGTGATTTATTTACCCTTCTAATATTTTTTTTTGTTTTACAATGAATGTTTTGGTCTTTTTTATTTTTCAGAATAGTCAAATAATATTTTACCCATAGAATATAAAAAATAAAAAAGACACAAATTTAGAGAAAATTTCATCTTTACACTGGGATTTTTGTTGATTTCAAGATTTATAAAAGGTATTTTAGATATTTTTTACTTAGTAAGTATTTTTAATAAAAAGTTATAGACATGTTTTCCTAATGTATCTACACACGAGAAAAGCCCACATCTTTTAGATGGGACATATAGCGTCTCTTGGTGTTTAGATATACTTCACCGTGTTATTAGAAGGATT